TAAGGGTCACAACAAGGTGTCAGAGACCTCGAGTAGGAGAGATGACCATAGGACCTGCGATGTCTAGGGTCCGGGGACCAAGATCTGTAATCAGATCCTGATGGAGATCTGGACGGCGATCTATGGTACTCGAATTCCCTGTGATCATAGCGTAATTGAGGTGATTGAGATCAAGTTGTCATAAAGTGCTCCCTATCATCTAAAGGGTGAATAGGCAAGTGGGAGTCATGTGATGCAGAATGGCGTCTAGAAATCCTGGAAGAGTCATGACAAGAGCCAGAGGATTTTATCATTGGTGATTTTGCATGCTGAGCCAGTGTAAGCTGGTCTGATGGGGACGACAAAGTCGGTGTCGAAACCCGAGGGTGGGGTTTCAGTTTTTAAGGTGCAGTTGGCACCAAGGCAATCGTAGGTGTCAATGTCGATAGACCTGAAATCACTACTGGCTCGAGCTGAGGAGCGGCGCCTGATGTCAACGGTTTCAACTTCTGCACTGAAGGGTCTTTGTCGAAGTGTTTTTTAGATTTATGCTTTTTCAAGGCTTTCTCGGCATCTCCTTGGGAGGAGCTCTATAACATTATCTGATTGAGGTCATGCGCAGGTGCCCAACCCATGTGTGGGACTGCACAGAGACCATGAAGAAGATCCATTGTTGCCAATCTCCAGGTGAGTGCCGGAGATCACTCAGAATTACAACTGCTCTCCAGATGGCAGAGATCAGTTCCCCTGGAGAAAATGGTGGACTCTGTGGCAGTCAGAGCTTCAGAGCATGGAAGAGGCTGCAGGTGTGTGTGTGGGAAATGGAAAGGTGAAGAGTGAGGGGGAATAACGGTAGGTTGATGATTGGCTGGAAAGAAGATAGAGTTGCCAACTCCAGGTGGGAAACTCCTGGGGATTTGAGGGATGGAACCTGGAGACGGTGAGGTTTGAGGAGGGGTGGTACCTCAGACAGGTACAATGCCATAGATTCCACCCTCCCAACCAGCCATTCTCTCCTGGGGAGCCACTGTTGCCAATCTCAGGAGAGGGGTGGAAATCACTCAGAATTACAACTGATCTTGAGTTTCTGGTGGGTGGATCGGCGATGGCAGTCGCTCTCCTCGGAGCTGGAGGAGGTGACTAGCACACCTTCGGCTAGGAGGGGTGCCACCTCAAGTGGCGCCCCCGTGGAGTCCTTGCGATGGGCTCCTGGCCAGAGGGCTCTCAAGGGTTAGCCTCTTCGACAGCTTGATGCCGAAGAATAGAGGCTTCCCTCCGCCCTGACGGTCCAGCCGATGGGTGACCTCCGGGT